TAGTATTGGTGTGTTTTTGTTTTTTTTTTATCTTTTTAATTTCTATAGAATCTGTAGTGATGTTCCCTCTTTAATTTTGGTATTAGTAATTTGTGTTCTCTTTTTTTTTTTTTTCTTTTTAAAGATTTTACTTATTTGACAGAGAGAGACAGCAAGAGAGGGAACACAAGCAGGGGGAGTGCGAGAGGGAGAAGCAGGCTTCCCGCGGAGCAGGGAGCCCGATGCGGGGCTCAATCCCAGGACCCCGGGATCATGACCTGGGCCGAAGGCAGACGCTTAACGGCTGAGCCACCCAGGCGCCCCGTGTTCTCTCTTTTTTTCTGAGCTTGCCTAGAGCCTTATTGAATCAGCTTTTGGCTTTGTTGTTCTCTATTTTCCAAATATTTCAAAATTTTCCAGAGTTTTCAACAATACTAATTTCTGCTCTCATTCTTCTTCTTTTCTTCTGCTTACTTTGGGTTTAGTTTCTTCTCCTTTTTCAAGTTTCCTAAGGTGGAAAATTAGATTATTGACTTTAGATCTTTTTTTCTTTTCTAATATGTGCATTCAGTCCTACAGATTTCCTTCTAAGCGTTTGCTTTCACTGCATCCCACAAATTTTGGTAAATTGTGTTTTCACTTTCATTTAGTTAAAAATATTTTTAAATTTCTCCTATTTAGGGACGCCTGGGTGGCTCAGTTGGTTAAGCATCTGCCTTCGGCTCAGGTCATGATCTCAGGGTCCTGAGATTGAGTCCCTCATTGAGCTCCTTGCTCAGCAGGGAGCCTGCTTCTCCCTCTGCCTGCCACTCCCCCCCCTGCTTGTGCTACATTCTCTCTCTCTCTCTGTCTGACAAAATCTTTAAAAAAAAATTTTCTTCTATTTCTTCTTTGACCCACATGTTATTTATAAGGGTGTTGTTTTAATCTCTGTGTATTTGGGGATTTCCCAGCTATCTTTCTGTTATTGATTTCTGGTTTAATCCTACTGTGGTCTAAAAGCTGACATTGTATGATTTCTCTTCTTTTCAACTCGCTGTGGTGTGTTTTGTGGCCCAGAACGTGGTCTATCATGGTGAACGGTCTAGGTGAGCTTGAGAAGAACGTATTCTGCCTGTTGTTGGATGAAGTGGTCTGTGAATGTCTGTTACATTCCGTTGATAGATGGTGGTATTGAGTTCAGCTCTGTCCTCGCTGATTTCTGCTGCTGTGTCTGTCCATTTTTGAGAGAGGGGCATTGAATTTTCCAACTGTGACAGCAGAGAAGTCTGTTTCTCCTTGCATTTCTGTTAGTTTTTGCCTCATATAGTTTGACATTCTCTTGTTGGGTTTGTACATGTTAAGAACTGTTACCTCTTGTCTTTTCGGAGAGTTGATCCTTGTATACTTAGGTAATGCCCATCTAAATCCCTGGTAACTTTCCTTGCTTTAAAATCTGCTCTCTCTGAAATGTAGTTACTCTTACTTTTCTTTGATTAGTTGTCGGCATGGTGTATCTTCTCCATGTGTATACTTTTTATCTGCATGTATCTTTATGTTTAAAGTGGGTTACTTGTAGACAACACATAGCTGGGTCTTGTGTTTGATCTGCTCTGATGATCTCTGTCATTTAAATGGTGCATTTAGACCGTTAACGTTCAAAGTGATTATTGATATACTGGATTATCTACCGTATTTGTTACTGTATTCTGTTTGTTGCTCTTGTCCTTTGTTCTTCTGTTTGTCTTTGACTCTTTTTGGTCGTTTTTTATGGTTTTAATTGAGCATGTTGTAGGATTCCAGTTTTCTCCTTTCTTAGCATATCCGTTATGCCATGTTTTTACTGTTTTTGGTGGCCGCCCTACGATTGGCAGTGTACATTTACAGCTAATCCAAGTCCACCCTCGGATAACACGGTGCCACTTCATGAGTTGTGTGGATACATTGAAAGAGCAAAATCATCTTCATTCCTTCCCTTGTCCTTGTATCATTGCTGTCTTTTGTCTCACTGGTAGGAACAAGCTTACGAACATGTGTCTGTAGAAGCCTACAGTCACATGCATCGCTGCTCCTGTCACTGGGAACAAACTGTTATTTGTTAGATCGGTTAAGATAAGAAAGAAGTTTTGATTTTACCTTCACTTTATTCCTTCTTCAGTTCTTTTCCTTCCTTTATGTAGATCCAAGTTACTGACCCAAATCTCTCTCACTCTCTCATTTCTTGTGAGGCAGGTCTATGGGCAACCAAGTCCATTAATTTTCGTTTGTCGGAAAAACCTTATTTCTCCTTTACTTTGGAAGGATACTTCTGCAGAGCACAGAGTTGTGTGTTGCTGATGTTTTTCTCCCACCGCCATAAATACTTCATTCCACTCTCTCCTTGCTGGCACGGTGTCTGAGCAAGAGTTGGATTTGATTCTCATCTTTGTTTCTCTGTAGGTAAAGTGCTCTTTTTCCCGTGGCTTCTTTCAGGATTTTTCCTTTATCTTTGCTTTTCTGTCATTTGAAAATGACAGGCCTAGGTATCCTTTCTTGGCATGTAGCCCGCTTAGTGTCCTCTGACCATCCTGCGTCTGTGGTTTGATGTCAGAGTTCAGTTTGGGGAAGTTCTCATCGTTTCGTATTTTTCTTCTATTCCTCTGTTTTCTCCTTCTGGCAAGCCCACTGTGCTTCTGTTACACCTTTATAGCATAATTGTCCCACAGTCTATTAACAGTTTTTTCCCAGTCTTGGTTCTCCTTGGTTTGGGGTTTTCAAGCTTTTCATTGCTGTATCCTCTGGCTCGGGGGTTCTTAACCACATTGGCCTGCTCGTGAACCCGTCCGAGCCATTCTGGGCTGTCTGCATTTCTGTTAGTGGTTTGATCTCTTGTATTTCTTTCTGGTTCTTTCTTAGGATTTCTGTCTCGCTGCTTTCATTGTCCATCTGTCCTTGCATGCTGTCTGCTTTATCCGTTGCAGCCCTTAGCGTATTCATCACAGTTGTTTTAAATTCCTGGTCTTGTGGTTCCAGCACCCCTGCCTGTCTGGTTCTGGTGCTTGCTCTGGAACCCTCAGACTGTGTTTTTGCCTTTCAGGTGCCTTGCAAGTGTCCCCTCACTAGGAGGATGTGATGTACCAGTTAGGAGGAGGTGCCGAAAATAGGCCTTCAGGAGTGTGGTGGTGAGGTGTGTGAGCAGGGGAGGCGTGCGCTTGTCCGGTGAGGAGGTCTCAGGTCTTTACTGAGCCCGTGCCTCGGACTGGGAACTCCCCAAGTGCCTCTCAGTTTCTTTCCTCCTCTTCGTCGGTGGACCAGCCTGCCCAGAGGGAGCGGGAGTTGGGCATTGCTCTTCTGTGGGTCAGTTTGGCTCTGTTACTGCTCCAGCACGCCGTGGGCTCTGGTTAGCTACTTTCCCCGGAGGGAATAGAACGCTCAGGCGCTTTTCAGAATGGTTCCTTCTCCCCTCCCCTGCCCCTGCCAGAAGCACGAGGGGATTTTTCTGTGATATTTACTGTGGGAATGCGTTTGAGCCCCTCGCCTAAGTCTCATGGCACGGTGGGGCCCCTGGAGTGACCGGGTCCCCCTGGAGTGTTCCACTCTGAGTGTGGCTGCCCTGAGCCTCCAGCAGTCCGTCCAGTTCAGGTTTTCCTGGCAGTGTCTGCTCGTGAGCCTCTGCTTCTGGAAGCGTGGCTCCTGTATTCACCTGTCTGTCTTTACTTTGGGGCCAGCACTTTGACCTGTGTGTGATCCAAGAAGAGTTGTTGACTTTCAATCTGTTCAGTTTTTCTACTTGTTGGGACAGACTTGTGACTTCCAAGTCCCTTGTATGCCAGACCAGAACTCAAAAAGTCCCTTCTGTTATTTATTGCCATGTATTTTAATATCAGGTTTAATGAGATAAAATCACATTCAATAAAATGACTACCTTTTAGCTGGACAGTTAGAGAGGAGTTTCAGCTAATGCAGAGACCTGTCTAACCACCGCCATACTTGGGACAGATGAGGTGTCTGTCACTCCAAAGTTCTCTCCTGCTCACTTGCTGTCAGTCCTCTTGTAATCTTTGGCCCTAGGCAGCTACTCTCATCACCATAGATTGATTTTTGCCTTTTTAAGAATCTCCTAGAAGTGGAATTCTACAGTACGTGCTCTTCTGACGCCTGCTTTTGCTGAGTGTGATGTCTTTGAGACCTGTCCGTATTGTGTGTAGCAGGAGACAGCCCCCTTTTGTTGCCGACAAGTATTCCGTTGTATGAACGTACCGCACTAGTCATTCGGTCGTCGAGGCATCTGTTGGCTGCTTTTGGTTTTTGACAGTTCTGAATCAAGCTTCTCTCAATGTGTGTATGTAGGTCTTTGTATGCACTTGTGTTTTCATATCTGAGTAAGGATCTGGCATCCCATTGCCAGGTGGTGTGCCAAGTGCATTTCACGGTGTAAGGAAGGGTCGCAGTGGTCATGCCATCTTACAGCTGCCCCCATGCTGTGTGAGGGAGCCAGCTCTCGGCTCGTGCTTCCTGAGGACTTGATCCTGTCATTGGGTTTTGGCCGCTAGTGGCCTGTGGTAGGAGGCATACTGTGCCTTCAGCTTGTTCACCGAACACCTGATGATGGCGGGAGGTGACCATCTCTTGCTGTCTTTGTTGGCCATTTGTGTGTCTTTTCTTTCCTGTTTTTATTCAGCCTTCTCTTCAAATCTTTTGCACAAGAGTTCTTCTATGTATTCTGGGTGCGAGTCATCAGATAGATGAGTGTTTGCAGAAATCTCCCCCCCCCCCCGCTTTCCATCTTCTGCTGTTTTATTCTGTAATGGTTTATTTTGAAGAGCTGAGGTTTTCTGTTTTAATGGAGTCCAGTTTCTGTATCTAAGTCCCGGCTTGCTCTCAGAGATCTTTACTCCAAGGTCATGGAGACTGTCTCCTATTTGATTGTCCATGTTTACAGCAGCTAGGTAGACTGAGGATGGTCTGGGTTACTTCTGGTCAAGTTGAATGGTACTCAGTAGGTGCTTATGAAACCGAAATCGGTGTAAAAAGTGGTCTTTTTTTTTTTTCCTTCATTTCAGATCAACAGGAGGCCCTTCAGGTCGGAGTGGACATCGGATGGTAGCCTGGAAGAGACAGTTAATCCTTTTTGGTGGCTTCCATGAGAGTACAAGGTTGGTACCAATAGCAGGACATCTTTCTTTCCTGGAACAGTAAGGAGTGGACTTTTTGTGGGAAGAACCATTCTGAATACACATGGAAAACACTGCCCATCCCTAAAACCAGAGCCAGCTTTGTGGATATGCAGCTGAGGCAACCCCACAGGACCCCCATGCTCTGCTGTCAGTGTCTTGAAATTCTTAATAGTTATTGAATAATGGACTCTGCATTTTTATTTTACACTGAGACCTGCAGATGATATGGCCAGTCCTATGTAACACAGGATTCTCCACCGTTAGCCTGGTACAGCATCCCCCGGAGGGCTTGTTAAAAGTCTGGTTGCCGGGCCCCACCCTCTGGTTTCTGACTCAGTGGGCCTGGGGCGGGATCTGAGAATCTGCATTTCTGCAAACTTGCAGGTGATGCTGCTGCTGCTGGCCAGGGGACCCCACTCTGAGAGCCTCTGGCCTAAAATAACTTTGAACTTCTCAGTGTTGGGGAACGCAGCGAGAGCAGTGATGTCTGAAGAGGGGCCTCCCGTGTGCCCGTGTGTGGCCACATTGGTACGAGCTGCCGTGATCGTGTGTTCTGTGTGTGCTCACGCCAGGCCAGGCTCGCTGGCTCTCCGGTTGTTGGGAGCCTGTCGTCCACACCATAGCCTCTTGAAGGTCCTGAGTTCAGTCCCAAGAAACAGGACATGTGGTGACAGGTCTGAGTTCCTGTCATCATCGTCATGCAGTGCTGGGTTGTGTAACGCGGCAAGGCTGTCCTGCCTGGCAAAGGCCCATGTGTTGTGCTTTGCCCCTGACCAGGCCCTACGTGGAGGAGGGTGGGCGCGTGTCTCTCCCAGTGGCCGTATTCTAGGCTTCCGTCTCCTAACCCCTTAAGGAATAGCAGAGTCATCAATATACGAATGGTCGTGGTACCGCTCACATTTCTGTCACATGATTTTTTCTGATAATGACTGGCTCCTAAATCTGTCGTTGTACGTGGATGTGAAGGAGGACGTTCGTGTTAGGAGTCTTGCTGTGTTTCATACCCCCCGTTACCCCGGTCTTCGTTGAGGTGTTGTGGTGTAGATTTGGCTCAATTAAAGCTGCAGTTTGTCTTCATGAATTAAAGACGTTTTATTAATTGAGAAAAGGAGATATAAATTCTTTTTTCTTTTTTTTTTTAAAGATTTTATTTATTTGACAGAGAGAAAGACAGCCAGAGAGGGAACACAAGCAGGGGGAGCGGGAGAGGGAGAAGCAGGCTTCCCGCCGAGCAGGGAGCCTGATGTAGGGCTCGATCCCAGGACCCTGGGATCATGACCTGAGCCGAAGGCAGACGCTTAACGACTGAGCCACCCAGGTGCCCCGGAGATATAAATTCTTAAATACCCTTGGAGGGGATTTCAAAAGCATAATTCAGTTCAACTTACACAGGAGTGATTTTTGTGTCCTTAAAGCTGTAACATGGGTGTACTGATGCTTTAATGTTGAGTCTCAAAGACCGTCCCGTTGGTAGAACAGGTTGTGGTCCCACGTCATAGATGAGGACACCAGGCTCACCAGTGCCCAGAGCAGCGTGGCCTCCACAGAAAATTGCTCCTTTTTGGGCAGCCCGCCCTCCCGCCCTACAGGCGCACGCGGGTTATTGCCGTATCGGATGAGAGAGCCCCGGCTGTTTGTAGAAGTTTATACCTAAGGGATTGTCATTTATTGTTTATTCTGGGCACTTTTTAAAAAAAACTAGGAATTATTTGTCACACACACACGGGGATTCGTGAGTGTGTTGGTACATTAATTCACCGCTTGTGTGCAAGATGGTGGGACCAACGCAGGCCTTCCCCTGGGAACTCACAGGTTAGAAAGTGGATCATGGTTTATAATGGTTGTAATCTGCAACTTTTTCAAAATCCGAACTGTTTTCAAAACTATTATCATCTGTTACCTTGCTTAAAGTTATTGTTTATAAAGTATTAAAACACGTAGGAAGGGGTGCCTGGGTGGCACAGTCGGTTAAGTGGCTGCCTTCGGCTCGGGTCATGATCCCAGGGTCCTGGGATCGAGTCCCGCATCGGGACTCCCTGCTCTGCGGGGAACCTGCTTCTCCCTCTCCCTCTGCCTGCTTCTCTGCCTACTTGTGTTCTCTCTCTATCTCTCTGTCAAATAAATAAATAAAATCTTTAAAAAAAAAAAAAACACGTAGGAAAACATGGTACTAGTAAAGCTACCTGTGTGGTCACCTTCCATATGAAACAAGTTAGTTTGACTTGTAAAAACCAAAGAACAGTTGATATTTATGTGTAGAACAGCATTTTTTTTTTTTTAAAGATTTTATTTATTTGAGAGAGAGAATGAGAGACAGCACAAGAGGGAAGAGGGTCAGAGGGAGAAGCAGACCCCCTGCTCAGCAGGGAGCCCGATGTGGGACTCGATCCAGGGACTCCAGGATCATGACCTGAGCCGAAGGCAGTCGCCACCCAGGCGCCCATAGAACAGCATTTTTTTTTAAAGATTTTATTTATTTGAGAGAGAGGAAGCAAGCACGAGCAGGGGCAGAGAGAGAAGCAGGCTCCCCATTGAGCAGGGAGCCCGACGTGGGGCCCCATCCCAAGACAGTGGGATCATGACCTGAGCCGAAGGCAGATGCCCAACCAACTGAGCCACTAGACGTCCCTAGAATAGTTTTTTTACTAAAAATCTGCAGGGTAAAATCTGAGGAAACAGTAGAATCTAGCGATGCCTTCTCAGAACGCTGAGCATTTGTGTTCTCCGTTCACGTATGAAAAGCCATCCTACAGAAGGTGCGTTTCCGTGGGTGCCAGTCAGGAGGGGCACCTGCCAGGTGGCGGCTTGTGCCCCGGGCTGTGTGCGGCAGGGGACCCCAGCCTCTGGCCCGCGTTCCTCTCCTGGTGGCCCTTCCACACACTGGCTGCGGGGCGCCCCACTTGGGCTCAGACTGTGGGATGGCTTCTCACTTCAGGCCTGGCTGCCTGTTCTGAATACCTGGAGAGCACCTCTTATTCTTCTCATGTCATTCCGACCTGAGGCCCCTTGGCTTTGCCTGTGACTGTCCATGACGTTACATCAGAACACTGCATCCTCGAGCTGCTGTTTTCCCACGCACAGGCTCCTTCTCCAGGTCCCTACTGCACTCAGGTCCTTGGCCACTTCAGTCCCAGGCGGACTAGGCAGGGCCCTCCTGCTGCTGCCGGGCTGCTGGGCCCCCGGGACGGGCCTCTAGGCATACTGGTTTCAGGAATGCTCAGCCCAACTCAGGGTCTCCTCCCAGCCCTAGCCCAGCTCTAAGTGTCTGAGTATTCACCTGGCTCTGTAATTCATGAGCTAAAAATTACACACGTGGAAACCTAATTTCCACTTGATTGTGGATTTTGTAAACTTTGTCAGGAAGTATGGTATAACTTTCAGCCTAGAAAGGCTTTCAGATCCAGGCAGATTACTGTATTCTTTAAGCTAGCATTATCTCTAGTTTCCAGATGCAAACTCCCATATGCCCGCGGTCCCTTCATGTGGATTTAAACTTTTTTTTTTTTTTTTTTAATTTGACAGAGACCCAGCGAGAGAGGGAACACAAGCAGGGGAGTGGGAGAGGGAGAAACAGGCTTCCTGAGGAGCAGGGAGCCCGATATGGGGCTCGATCCCAGGACCCTGGGATCATGACCTGAGCCGAAGGCAGACGCTTAACAACTGAGCCACCCAGGCGCCCCGTGTGGATTTATACTTTAATGAAACCAATAACTTAACTACAAATGGCAGAAAATTTACCTTTAATTTGAATCAGGTTCACTTTTAAATGTTCCCACCTCCTTGTTTGTGTCCCTGTGTTATAACCAGAGATTACATCTACTACAATGATGTGTATGCCTTTAACCTGGACACGTTCGCTTGGAGCAGACTGTCCCCATCAGGGGCTGGGCCCGCACCTCGGTCAGGCTGCCAGATGTCCGTCACCTCCCAGGGCAGCATTGTCATCTATGGGGGCTACTCGAAACAGGTGAGACGCGGCCGGCAGGGAACCAGGAGCTCCTCTCTGTTGCCTTTTTCACCAGGAATGGAAACTTCCAAATAGGATTGCGAGTTGGTTTAATAGAAACGCTTTCTGTTGAAGTAGAGATGGATGTAGTGTTCATCTGTTCCCCTGTGGATATGTTAAGATTTTTTTCAGCCACATTAAGCCGTATCATGTCGCAACCCATAGGGCCCGAACATGCTGCAGTGTGAATAATTCTGTATTGGGAGGCGCGTGCTCTTGATGCCTGAGCCACAGGCACCAGGTACGACGTACAGTGTTTGATTATGGTAGAGGCCGCCGTCGCCGCGAGCAGCACAGACATGCTGGAGTGAGTGCCCCGCACGCCTCTCTGGGGGTGTGCACAGCGTGATGGGCTGGCTCTGGTGCGTGTCCCCCGCACAGGGTGCCCTGCACAGCGTCGGCAGCCCACAAGCAGCCCCTCACCAGCTTGCACGCGCCTGTGAGCCCCAGAGGGATGAGGTGGCCTCTCACTGCAGGCTTTTTCTTAGCCTTCATAGTTTGAAAATTTCTCCAACACAGAGTGACTTAAAAAGACTTACAAGCACTTAACGTCCCCCCACCCAGACCCTTCTGTAGTTAGCGCTCTGTTGTCCACACTTCTTCATGTACTGTTCACATCTTTCTGGGCGTATTTCAGAGAAAAGTGCAGACATCGGTCACTCCCCCCTGAATACTGGAGCATGCATACCAGCATGTAGAGTTCAGCATTCAAGTGTTTTTTTGTTTTTAACTTTATTTATTTTACATCCTCTCTGCACCCATCAGGGGGCTCAGACTCCTGACCCTGAGCTCAGGAGTCACATGCTGCTCCGGCTGAGCCAGCCAGACGCCCCTCAACGTGCCATTCTTAATGTACAGTTTCTCTGCAGTCACGTGCACACATTTTAAGTGTGTACCTGCTGGTTGTGACAGGTGTGTGTGCGGGTGCTTGGAAGCCCTCATCTGCCATGCCCTTTCCCCCACCTGGAGGCAGGTGCCGGTCTCTGCTTTGTCTCACCTTGTCCTCGACGTGCTTGTTCTAGGACTTGTGACAGATGTGCTCGGTGGAGGAAGACGTCCTTCCTTCAACGTGCTTCTGAGATCTGACCACGTTGCACGTTTTAGTTGCTTGCTGCTTCGTGCCAAGCAGTATTCCGCTGTGACACACAGTTTCTCAGTTCTTTATTGGTGGACACCAGGCTGTTTCCAGTTTTTGACCATTATGAACAAAGCTGCTGTGAGTTTCTTGTGCAGGTCACTGTGTGGCTCTACCTTCTGGTTTCTTGGGCAGAGACCCAGGAGCAGGACTGCTTGGGTCACAGGGTGGAGCGTGTTGCAGCCCTTCCCGCACTGGTTGCCCACACCCTTGCCAACCCTTGATGCCGCTAGTCAAGGTAGAGCGGCCTCTACCTTTTTTTTTAAGATTTTATTTATTTTTTGACAGAGACACAGCGAGAGAGGGAACACAGGCAGGGGCAGTGGGAGAGGGAGAAGCAGGCTTCCCGCTGAGCAGGGAGCCCGATGCAGGGCTCGATCCCAGGACCCTGGGATCATGACCTGAGCCGAAGGCAGACGCTCAACGACTGAGCCACCCAGGCACCCCCCGCCAGTCTTTTTTATTCTCGGCCATTCTGGCGGATGTGTGGTGTCTCATTGTGGTTTTAAATGTCATTTCCCACATATGGAATGGGCCCTTTGACTTGGGGGGCCGAGCAGGTCGCCTCTTGGTGGTTGGGATGACGCAGTCAAGGAGTCCGTCCTGCACTGGGGGGGTGTCCCGCTTCCGCCTTCTTCCCACCCCTCTCACCCTAGTGAGTCATGGCCCTACCGCTCAGGAAGTGGTCAGCCTTTGTTCTGGAAAGAGGATATTGGTTTTCTGGCCTTAGCTAGATGTTTGATAGATGGGAGGGCCGGAGAAACAGGTTGCTTTGGCCACAAGCTTGTGCCCACATCTTGTGCTTCATAGAGTGAACCGGACGGGATACAGAAGGGAACCTTGTGACGCTCACGCCACTTTAAAGAGGATATTTAATCAAAATAGTGCCTCCTTCTCAACAACTGCTCTTCTCCAACTAGGAACAGTGGCTAGGGGTGTGGACAAGCTGAATCCACTTCACTCAGTGACCACTTGCTCCAGGCCTTTGGCGTTTGAATCACAATGAAGAGCTTGTCTGTTTGGATCCATGGGGGATTTATCCCAATCAGGGGAAGATGGGAGTTGGGGCTGCTATGGGATATTAGGGTGTTAGTCTAAGTGGGTGACTGGCTGCCTGAGTCCTTACTGGAACACACTTCACGGTCCTGCAGCCTGGACTGGCGGAGTGCTGCTTCCTGCCCGGTGTCCCCACCCAGGGCAGGCGTGGTCGGGCACCATGGCAGTGAGCTGACAGCCGCCAAACACGGCATCGAGTGTAGATGCCCTGGAAGTGGCCGGGGGCGGCCTGCAGAGCAGGGTCTGAACTTGTGAGGTGTGGGAGAGACGGCCTCTTGGTGGTTTCGTGTATCACAGATGGTCCACCTGGGCACCTCAGCTGTCCCGGGCCGGGTGTTGAAAGCTTGCTGCTGTTGTGAATCCAGGGAACCAGGATGAAGTTTTGCTAACTTTATAAAAGGCCCTCCCGTTGCCAAGATGCTCAGGTGGCTGGTTGGCAATGCTGGCTGCTTCGAGAGAGGGGGCAGGGCCGTCTGCACCTGTTGGACTCGTGAGCCCGGCATTCATGGCTTGGCTTACAGTAGCTCCTCTTTGCCTTTGGGGAGGACGTCTCATGCACACGGGGTAGTTTCTGTGGGTGGTTCCGTGCTGGTTCTCAGCCATCAGGACAGGAGCGACAAGGCCATGGGCCTCCCTGCCCTGCCCCGCCCCACCCCCTCCCCAGGAGCTGCGGAGCACCTTCTCCCAGTGGCGTGTGGCGTCTTCCTTTGTCCCCGCAGGCCCTGGTGGGGATGTGCTGAGGACGGTGCTTTCGCTGGCCCTGGGAACATGGGTTCCTTGAAGGTGCTTCTTCCACATGGTCCTTTTCACTTTTGACTCTCAACCAGGTTGCAGCCATTCTGTCTGGAACCTCTCCCCACCCTCTGGGGACAAACTGGGGAAGGCCCCAGAGAGTGGACAGTTGACAAACAAAGGGTCCTCAGAGCGCAGCAGCGCAGGGCCCTTACTCGTCTCAGAGCCGTTACCGCCCCTTGCTGGGGTCAGATTGCCCTGAAACTGGGGTGGCCCAGGAGGTTGAAGGGAGTCCATCTCCACATCTGAGGCCGAGGGAGCTAGAGCTGCTGATTCAAAGAGCCGAGTGCAGAGTGTGAGTGCAGTGGGAGGAGGTGCCTGGGTCTCAGTCACACTCGTAGTCACTTTGGAGATAGTTTTGTTGTTTTTCAGTGTAACGTTGTAACGCTTGATACACGTCTCTGTCGAAAGTGTCTTTGGGTTCCATGGATTCCCTTAGTTCTGCAGTGGACAGAAACGAGTGAGCGGGGGAATACGTTCTTTGTAAAATGCATCCAGTTTCAGCCTCTCACCCAAGTGCCCCTCCCCAGAGAGAGGCTGAGACGCTGTACGGGACGTCACACTGCGAGGTGGGACGGGGACGTGTCCCAAGGCTTGTGCAGACTTGCTTCCTCCGCCGCGCCCGTTGAATCCCGTGGGCGCCTGGCCGTGCCCGTTAGAAGTCGCAGCACGACAGCAGCGTCACACAGGGCAGCTCCCTGTGGGTCCCTGTGAGGACTGCAGACTGGATTTGGGGCACGTCCCTGCACTTCAGGAAAAGTAACTGCTGTACGGGAGGAGTTAGTGAGCTGGTGGGGCGGGGGCCCCGGCACCAGTGGGCTCTGGTCCGAAGGGCTGCCCGTCCCCGTGCAGCCAGAGCCCTGGCCCACGCGCCAGCCGGCACGAGGCTGTGGCCCCGGGCTGTGGCATCGCCCTTCTCGGGAAGCCTTCTGGCTCGTGGGCCTTGGGAGGAGGTGTTTAATTGGTACAGCATAGAAGATCCCCCTTAACTAGAAGGCTCTGGCCACTGCCGCAGCTCTCAGGTCAGCGGGTGCAGCAACGCGGGGGTGCGGCTCCGCTGTAACTTACGTCTCTAGCAACAGAGCGGTCACTGAACTCGTTCCAGGTCCCCTCGGCGGGCAGGGCCTCTGGCTGTGAATGCAGTTCCTGCACGTGCCAGGCCTTTTGGTGTGGAAGGGTAGCCCCTCCCGCTGTGCAAACATCTTGTCTGAATAACGTGCAGGCATTGCCTCACTTGAATCCTGCAGATGTGTCCGGAAGGAAAACCAGAGAGGCGCACCCCCAGTTTTCATTTCCGGAGATGCAGGCCATTCCCCACTCAGGGCCGATCCTGAACCTCCTGGGCTTTAGGATAGTCAGGTCACATGTCCAGTCTGTGGACAGTGGGATTGTGGCTTTGTTTTCCAAAAGGAGACCAGCTTCTCCCCCCTGTAGTAAACGCACACCTGTGTTTGAAAGGAAAGGAAGTATGCGTCCATATTTCCTGATCCTGTCTTGCGTTTGGGGGGCGGGGGGGTAGAAGTAACCGCAGCAGCGAGCACTCCTGGTGCCCAGATCGCGGTTTCTAACCATGACCAGTGAGAGGACCTGGGGCTCCTCAGGGAAATGGCGGATTCCAGGCCTGGGTCAAGAAACGTACGGGATGAGGCTGGAGGATCTTGTGGTGCCCCAACCTAAGGGTGTGCTTATAGGAAACCCACATGACGGGCTGTGTCAGACGGACACAGGAGCCACCAAAAGGGTTTCCAGTGGCCAAAGCTGGAACTGTTTTAGCAACAAAGTAAGTAAAGTGGATAGGATTACAGCCCAGAGTAGAACATAAAAATCTGTGAGTCCATTTGATTATAAGCAAATGATTGAATGAGTAAATAAATCAGGGGAAAGGGACAAATCCCTATGCAGAATTCCACAGAAATCATGTAGCCAACTCCGCCCTCAAGGGCTGGAGTCTGACTTCCGCCTCCGCAAGCGGGGCTGTGCACAGTGATGTCCTTCCCCAGAGGGCTGTGGAAAGCTGCAGACTCGGAGGGGGCAGAGGTGACAGCCAGGTGACCGGGATCAGCAGCAGTGGAAAGTCTGGGCGCCAGCGTGCACCCCTGGTGTGCTACAGGGGAAGGGCGCCTTACCTGTGGGGCCCACAGCCCCAGCAGTGCTGAGAGAAGCGTCAGACAGACCTCAGGGAGACCCAGGATGCAGCACAGCTGAGCAGCGACTTCTCGGCTCCTGAGGGAAGGCAGAGATGGGGAGTCTGGGCCAGTGCAGCTGACGTGACGCGGAGGGCTCAGGGCTGAGAAACCTTGGTTTCATTGCTGGCGACGCTCAGAAGAGGGTTTTTTTGTTTTTTTTTTTAAATATTTTTATTTATTTATTTGACAGAGAGAGACACAGCGAGAGAGGGAACACAAGCAGGGGGAGTGGGAGAGGGAGAAGCAGGATTCCCGCCGGGCAGGGAGCCCGATGTGGGGCTCGATCCCAGGACCCTGGGATCATGACCTGAGCCAAAGGCAGACACTCAACGATTGAGCCACCCAGGCGCCTCTGAGGTTATGATTTGAATTGAAACCAAGAGTGGGACACTTAACCGACTGAGCCACCCAGGCGCCCCTCAGAAGAGTTTTTAAGTGGTAGCACCTGGCTGGCTTGGGCAGCAAGTGTGAATGTCATTCTTGCAGGGAAGTCTGAGCACATGAATTGAAAGATGATGGGGTTGGGGACACACGGGAACTGCGATGGAACTTCATGATGGCCTCGGGGGAGGGCCCCTCCACCTGGAACAGGGTCGCTGCAGAGCCTTGGGAGCTCACGACAGTTCTTGTTAGAATGGTGAATTCTTAACATTCAAAATCTATTCTTGGTTAATAAGTCATACTAACATTTTTTATTACATCTGCTCAATGAGGTCAGAATTGAACGGGTCGTAGTTCCGATTTTCTTTGAGGCTCATCCGAACGAAGGCTCCCAGGGTGCCCCCCACCCCCCTGCACCCCAGTAGGGAGGCAGACCACAAGCTTGAGGGAGCTGGGCAGGGTGTTGTAGGTGGCGCCTGGCCAGTTCTCACAACTCCCTGTTCCTTTTGCAGAGAGTCAAGAAAGATGTGGACAGAGGCACCCAGCATTCAGATATGTTCCTGTTGCAGCCTGAGGACGGAAGAGAAGGTACATGCACTGGGTCATGGGGGTGGGCCACGGGCTCCTACGGGAAGCAGGGCAGGGACCCGAGAGCCCTCCTGCTCTGTGGATGGGGGGCTGGGGGAAGGGAGGGTGGCGGCGAACCCCTGCACACTGTGCTGGAGTCATGGGCAAGTCCTCACCGGAGCAGGCAGGCCGGGTGCTCTTGAATAACCCTAAGTGTCTGCACAGCAGGGACAGCCGAGGAGTGCTCACCCTCGGGTGTTTGGGACGGCGACCTCAGAGCGAGTGGAAGCCACTCTTTGTCAGCTGTTCCCTGACTTGTTCTCACTCGAGCAAGTGGCTGCTGGGATGTGGGATTTGGGCATGGTTCTTGTGGGTCAGCGGCCCCCCGTTTGCTTTCTAAAGCTCAGAAAGTCAGGTGGTGGCCTGTGAGACTTGGGATGAGCAGGCCGGGCTAGACTCAGGTGATCCAGTCTGGTCCTGGGTCTGCTTTGGGACCCGCAGCAAGCCTCTCACCCGCCCCGTGAGGCTGTAAGCTGTAGAATGCACGCAGCACCCTTCCGTCTCTCCCACCCTAACCTCCGTGAAGCCGGGCACTTCTCAGGAAGTCAGCCAGGCTGCCCTGCAGTGACCGATGAGGACATCTGCCTTTTCCTCAGTGGGCACCAAGGTTTGGAGTCAAGGAGAAAGCTGCCTGGTGTGCACATCAGGGAGCCGGAGCTGGAACCGGACCCTGAGCCCGTGTGCTCAACCTGTGCACCCGGGCATCAGGCCCTCGACCGCCAGCAAGAAGCACGTGGTGCACTGTGAGCTAGGGCACTCTGATGTTTTTCCTTCTCTGTTTCCGTACCACGTTAACGTGCTGGCTGTGAGGAGTAGTCCTCGTGGCCCAGTACTGGGTGCCCCCCGGAGTCACAGCTGTGCTGTGTGCTGATGAACAACAGGTGGGCACGACATGGTACGACGTTGGCCATTTGTTGCTTCTGTTCAGTTTTCCTTAAACGTTCAATAAAAGGACAGTCTCGGTTCTTTTTTCTAGATGTGGTGGGAAGATAATCCCCCATGCTTCACACTGGGTCACATTTTGAGCGTTACCACGTTCATCAGGCACGGCACGTGCCGAGAGAGCGAGAGTGAGCATGTTGCCTGCGGGAGCGTCTGCGGTTCTGAGCAGTGGGCGAGTGCGCACAGCCCGCACGGAGCAGCTCTCTCGGTCCCCCGGCCCCCCCGCGGGGCCTGGCGCGGCATGAGGCCCTCCCAGCACTGCGGCCTGCCCGCCTCGCTCTCCGCTCGGCCTCAGAGCCGCCCCTGGGGCGTGGTTGGCCCAGGGGCTGTCTGGAGGGCATGTGGAAACATTACTTAGTGCACGCAGGACCTTCAGGAGCAGGATGAAACTCGGGGGCGTGTTGAACTGTGTTTTGTTTCTGCAGAGGGCTCAGAATGCCTGAACTTGGTGCCCTTTTACCTGCAGTCTTGCGTTTCCGCTTGTCCCATTCACTGGGGTCGGTGATCCTGGGTGAGCCTTCGGCCGGCAAACTCTTACCCTGTGTTCCCTCTCCTCCAGCAGGCAGGTGGGCCTGGACCCGGATTAATCCTGCAGGAGCCAAGCCCACTCCGAGGTCTGGCTTTTCGGTGGCTGTGACCCCGAACCATCAGACACTGCTCTTCGGGGGTGTGTGTGACGAGGAAGAGGAGGAGAGCCTGGAGGGGGACTTCCTCAATGACCTGCATTTCTATGATGCCGCCAGGAACCGCTGGTTTGCGGGGCAGCTGAAGGTAGAGCCGGGCCCCGAAGTGTGCACCCCGATGCAGGGCTGCACCTGCTTTCCTTCTGCCGCGTCAGCCGGTTCTTTTGGCAAGGCTTCAAGCTGCCCTGGGCCTCCCCAGTCCCTGTGTGTGTGGGGCCCATGGGAGCTTTCGGCGTCTTTACTGTCGTCGTGGGCAGGGACGCCCATGTCCCTCCACTCACTCCACAGCGGCACCATGGGTGGCCGTCCCAGCAGCGGGGTCCCACTGGGGCTTCAGATCTAGAGGAGTTGATGGGGTCAGCGGCCCCGACGCCGAAGGAGGTGGCCCACTCTGGCGGAGACCCCACTCCGGCAGAGACCCCACTCTGGTTGCAGAGTCTCTGTGGGAAAACGGGTGGACGTGCAGCCAGTGTCTGGATGCGTGGCGCTCTCTGCCTTTTTCTTGGAGGGGTCACACGCAGGCAGAGGCTCTGTGCCCCCAGGGTGAACCGCAACAGGTGCTTCACCTGTGGCCCAGCCCCCTTGGGGCCCAGGGGTTCTGCCTGCTCACCGCTGTCTGCTGCTAAAACGCATGGCCTTGCTTCTTCTCAACAGGGACCTAAGTCAGAGAAGAAGAAACGTAGGAGGGGCCAAAAAGCAGAGCCCGAAGGTGCTGACAAGCGGGACTTGGGGGGGGCCGGTGCCCAGGAGCCACTGGAGGTGGTCAGAGAGGTGGTCACAGAGGACGGGACCGTGGTGACCATTAAACAGATGCTGGCTGCCCCGGGCTCGGCTGGACAGCCCCCATCCAACGAGGAGGACAGCCCTGATGAAGCCGGCGGCGCCGTGGTGGAGCCGAGCCCCCGCTCGAACGCCATGCTGACCGTGAAGCACGGGCAGCTCTACCTGTACGGAGGCATGTTTGAGGCAGGTGACCGCCAGGTCACCCTCAGCGACCTGTACCGCCTAGATCTGCACAAGATGCAGGAGTGGACGGCCTTGGTGGAGATGGATCCAGGTGAGCTGGGGTGGAGGTACGCTCCTCCTCAGGTTGGGGCGGGAACCCCAGCAAAGCGTCTCTGTCACATCTGCCTGCAAGCAGGCGCCCCCTCAGATCTGCCCTGTGCCACTGAGCCCGCGGTGGGCAAGGGGCTGCATCCTCTGTGCGTCCATCCCTGCTCCGGGAGCGGAGGGGGGTGGGCTGCCTCCTCGAGCACTCCGATGAGCCTCAGACCCGTCCTGCTGCTCACCAGGGGCCTTGTCCAGAGCAGATCTCACAGAGCCCCTCGTCCGGGGACAGCCGCCTCAGCACGTGAGGGGAGCCGGCCCAGGACCTGGGGCACCTCCAGGCCTCCTGTGCTCTGGTCCAGACTGCTCCGTCCCTCGCCTCTATGTCCTTCCCCGGCAGCTGCTGGACACAGCCACCACTCCTTTAAGCCCAGAGACTAGAAACAAAGTTAAAATCCACACTTGGGGAAGGTTCCTCTGTGGCCAGTGAGAGACTCCTATCTTCCAACGAGCCCAGGCTAGAGCTGGGGAGCAGGAGAGAACTCTGTATGGGTCTTGTGTCTTCGCCCGTCAGTCTCCTTCACCCCACCTCTGCTCGGAGACCGAGAGAAAATGCGTTTCCTCTGAGCGTGCGGTGATGCCGGGGCTCGGGCCGCTTCCACACCAGGAGTCTTGTGAGGGGGCTGCCCACTGTGCTGAAGCTTCGAATGCGCACTTTTGCTTTAAAGGAACTCAGGAGTGGCTGGAGGAGACGGACTCCGAAGAGGACAGCGACGAGGATGAGGGCGCCGAGGGCGGGGACGAGGACGAGGACAGCGGCGGGGAGGCTGGGGGTGAGTGTGGTGCACGTGCCGGTGAGGGGTGCCAGGAGACCTAGAGCTTGGGGGTCAGTTGGCTCCCAAAGTCCTAATTTTTACTGGTAATGAGAGACTTTATGGCTTTACTGAAGTTTTATTAAAATTTGGCTTTGCTTTGTAGATGTGCTCTCGAGGCAAGCTTAAGTTTTTGAAAGAACATTCGTACGTGGAGTGCATTTGAGCGGCGCCGTGTTGGTTTCTTGGATGGAGTGAAGAATGCCCTCGCCATATGATTTCTTTAAATTTGGTGCCCGTGATCGCCCCATCAGGCGGTGAGCGGGTGGCCTCTGGAGCTGCCAGACCCAGGCCGCCGTCCTGGGCTCAACGTGCTTCCCTCCCGCCCCCTCCTTCCCCACGGAGCAGCTCCCGCACGCACGGTGCTGCCCGCCGAGCGGCTTGCGGACGGCCTGCTCGGGCCCCACCAGTGTCGGGTAGAGCTCACCCTGGACAACGTGGGGCCCCACGCCGGGAAGAGAGCAGCCCACGCCGTGGCAGACGCTTTGTGCGACGACTTGGCCTGAGCGCCGTCCCCCCGCCCCCAGAAGTTAACCTGTGTGAGGTGCAGTTGCTTTCCCTCGGTATCACAGGGTGTGATTTAAAATAAAGCGGCCTTGGGGCGCAGCCGCAGCGAGGTGGTGATCTGTGCGGCCCGCTTGCCCTGGTGGTGGTGGCGGGGCCCCGTGCTGGGGCGAGGCCCCCCCCCCCCCGCTGCAGGCGGCACCTGGAAGACGAGGTGGCACGCGGGTGCTTTGTGGGCGGTTTCCCTTTGGCCAGACAAGGAGCCGCATGTCCTGGTTGATGGTACTTTGTCGGCCTGGAGGTCTCAGCTCTGATTTCCAGAAGTTCTTGGTGGCAGCCTGCCGACCACCTTTACACGCTTTGTGTCTCTGCCGATGTTTGAAATAAAGTTCCTGTTGGCTGGGCGGTTCTGTGTGTTCTCTGCCGCTGGCTGTGCTCGGGGGCCTCTGAGTGAATGTCCCCGATGACTCAGAACTGCTCCACTAGCCTCTTTCAGGAAGAGATGCTAGAGCCCCTCTCTGCTCTTTCCCTTTCAGGCTCCAGGCTGTCATTGGCAGAGTAGCAGGAGGACGGGAAGCCTGAGGTCGGGGACCCCACTGTCTCCACGTGGTGCTGCTGTCCAGCGCCCGTGGAGTGGGGGTCATCACGGTGGCAGCCTTGGTGCGTGCACATACGGAACGGTGCCCGCTCCAGGGTGCATGGCTGGGGTCAGCATTTCGGCCTTGAAGTCACACCTGGTACCTTTCTTCATCTTAAATACCTGCTACAATGAGAACGTGGTATTTCTAGTTTTTAGCAACAGGGCCAACATCCCATTTGTTCCCTCCCATAGGCCATCCGCATCATTGCCTGGATGCTAATAGACAGAGCAGGGCCTGGCCCGGGAAGGTGGTCTGGAAGAACAGGGCTGACCTGCCCCAGAAACGGCCCCTCGCTCGCCCAGCCTTCTCCCGCTGCTCAGCCCCCACCAGCTTCGACAGTGGGCCCTCAGCTGTCAGACTGGCAAGCCTCTGGAATGGAGCCTGGCAGGGGTGGGCTCTCAACAGCAGACTAGAACTAGGATCCTGTCCCCTGATGGTATCCTGTCTGCTCGTCTGCCTGCCAGAGCCCCACTCTGGGGGCTGTGCCTGCGGGAGCTCCGGCCATCAGAGAGAGGCCAGGCTGGGGCCCAGGCGGCACGGCACCCTTTCGGTCGACGTGGGCTGGGTTTGGTAGAGAAGCTGGGTGCTCGGCCTCCAGTGGCATGTTTGTGGCCGTTCGCTTGGATGCTGGAGCAGTCTGGGCCTTCCTCGGACACTCAGGGCGGAATCTCGCTGCAGGGTCCTCAGGCGTGGCTGATGGGATGCTGTGGCTCGTTCCCGGGACCTTCCGGGTCCTCCCGGTGCCCGCTCTGCCCACTGCCGGGACGTGGCACTCAGCCCCAGCTGTGCGGTCCAGCGGTGCCGCTGCTTTAGGAGGAGCTGCTTGGAGGAGCTTGTTGGCTCCACCTCGGCTTTCTGTTGTCAGAGGCCGGAGCGTTACTGATTGTCTCTGTGACAGAGCAGGTCTGAGGGAAGAGGGTATTTGTTAATCAGCCAGGTTGAAAGAGAACTCACAAATCCCCTGAAGAAACTCCTTGTACAAACAAGTCTCTGTTTTGCTGTCATGTCCGTAGGGTTATTGCTAAAAAACTCAGTTTGAGTGGACCAACAAGAATAAATAAACAAGCTTCCAGAGAAGGAGCTGTCTCTGCTGCTTGATGCCGTGATTGAAACACCAGGATGGGCGCACCTTAGAGGCTCAGCAGGGGGAGAGGCGGCAGTGTGTTATAGGATCGCCAGAGTCTGCCAGGAACAGGACCAGCACACCCACCCTGCAGTCTGTCGGTGACTCGTGTGCCCCACTGAATGTTCCGGACACCCTGATGGCCACCACAGGCATGAGTGGCCAGTACGAAGCCCAAGGCCTCCATTCCCTGCGTTGCTGGAACCAGAACAGCTGGATACAGCTGTATTCCGGGTCAGCGAGGGCCCTGCAGTCGCATATCCTGTCTTGTCTGCTCCTTGGTTGGCTGAGTTCTTGGTAAGCCCCCGTACCACCGGCTGGGTTGTTGGTTCTGCCCCTTTCTCTTACGGTGCCCATCCCTTGGCCGTGCCCTCTCAGACACCAGCAGAGCTCCTTGGGGGGCTGGGGGGGCGTTGAGTGTGAAGACTTCTGTACCCTCCCTGAGTCCCTGGGGCAGCTGAGCGGCTGTCTGGGTCATGCAGCAGGAAGATGGATTCCAAAGGGCTGGTCAGAGGTGGTAGATTTCTGGGGTTGGCTTCAGTGGAACAATCATCCTTACCAGAGTGTTTCTCTGTTTGTCTCTAAAAGATAACAAGAGTGGTATTTATTGCCGTTTGACACGTTGTGGGTTCCTTACCAAGTTTTCCAGACAGGGAGTCGGTGGCTAGCTGACAGTAGAGACACACTGAGGGGCCAGAGGCTGGCCAGGGCCTGCCGGTGACAGATGGTGTCCTCCGGGCTGTTGCCTGGGGCTAGAGGGGCCCTCAGGCTGCCACCCAGGGGAGTTTAGGCACAAGCTTGGGTTCAGATCGGGTGACCCAAGTGAGGTTCACACTTGGGAACCAGCCCCCCCCATGTGTGTTGGGGTGAGGAAGAGGTGACACAGTGATGACTGGGGGCTGGGGCGGGGCAGCTGCTTCCTCGGGCGGGGGTGGGGGGACGTGCCCCACTTCAGCTTGAGGGAGCATGAACTCCCATCTGCTGTCCACTGCTTACTTCCGTGAGCACTGAAGGAGCTTTCTGGTAACTACTGCTTCCCTGGGTGTTTTGAGCCAGCAAGCAGGGGCTGTGTGCAGGCCTCGGGTCACCAGAGGCCAGTGTTGTCTTCCCGGCCCACGTAGCCCCTGAGGATAGAGCAGAGGCGTCTTCGTTTCTGTTTTGCGAGAGAGCTTTGTCAGTGCTGGGTTCAGGCTGGGCCTGGCCACCCACCAGTGTGTGACCGTGGTGTCCGGTAGGAAGCTAAGGCGCCGAGCGGCGCAGCCAGGGGCCAAGGACATAAGCCATCAGGGTCTGAGGAGCCTCCACGGGCACAGCCAGTGCTGGGCCTGGTTTCCCGGTGCCGAGCAGGCGTGGGACCCTCTGGACCAGACCTGCTTGTGGAGCTGGGCAGCCATGTGCCTGGAAAGGCCCAGGTGTGTCTGGGGGGGATCCTGAGATGGGAGAAACTCTCATCGGAAAGAAAGGCTGAGTAAGCTCCCCCATGGGAAGCTTAAATCAAACTGGGTTTAGCACAGCAATGCCGTGAGGCCCCTGGGGCAGCGCCTGTGGGGTGTGGGGGGCTGCTGGGGCCGGCTTCGGGAGGAGGGGGCGTGCTTCAGGCTGGGCTCCCAGAGCCCTCCTGCCCAGGACCTAGGCTGCAGGGCTGCCGGCGGGGGAACACAGGCTCTGCCCCAAGAAGTAATTCCGTTTCTCCGTCTCAAAATTTTGGCATTAGGAGATTTCAGTGAAGACCCTGATCTGTAATGAGATGATGCAAGGGACCCAGAGTTTTCAAATGATGGTGTTTATTACTAAAAGGAGCAAAATTGTTTTAAATCTTGACAGTGTCCCTTGCTTTCAGATAGCGAAATACATCATAACGGTATGACTTAAAGTGTTACATTCATTAAGAAAAAGTATTTAAGTTTCACTTTGTAAGTAACCAAGCTATTTTTCCCAGCTAAAAGATAAAATGGCGAGGTAACATTTTTAGCCGCTTCATCAATAAGAAAAATCAAAACATAGTCAACATTCCCTTTTTGTCAATGCACAAACGATTGCACTGCATTGAAGTTTACATGCACCAGGAAACAAAGTGGGAAAAGAAAATGCAGATTGAGACCGATTCATGTTAGAATTCACAAAAAGGCATCTCTGTCAGGGTGAGTGGTCTCCGGTCTAGTGGAGGGCGAGTGTGCGCGTGCGCTCGCCTGAGCACTGAGGGCCGTGTCGGTTTTATTTCGATCAGGCTACAGTGGGATGGTGGTTCTTTGGACATGGTGAATGGTGCAAATAAGCCGAGTCCGGCTGTCGGGTTTGGCTCCGTGCCCGGGGGTCCCCCACCCCCCCCGGCGTGAGCCGCAGAGTGCCCGGGCCGCGCACCGCCAGCGGGCGTAGGGCAGAGAGTGCAGGCCACACTGCTCTGGTGGCGGCAGTGACCGTGCTGGGTAGGGTGGGGCCCCCTCGGGGCGGACGCCCCACCTCCTGCGCCCGAAGCCGGCCCAGCTGGCTCACCGGAGGGCAGCCCTCCCCTGACTCCTGCCCTTCGCAGGCGAGTGGTATGGGTGCCACTCACTGAAGGGCACTTGGCTGCGAGGTGTGGGGTGCCCCGGGGACTGACCGTGTTTAGGGAGGGCGACCCCCTCAGGCGGCGGGCGTTCTGTTGGCCTCATGGTTGAACGGTGTTGGAAAGGCCTTCCTCTGTGACGTGTGTCCTCACACGGGAAGCGCTGGGCGACGGTAACTCTGATCTTAAGGGACTTGAAATCTGATCTTCGTAGCAGGCATGGAATGAATCGCCGGGGCAGCTGCTCCCAGCACGTGGAGGGGAGCGGGGACCCAGCCAACACCTGCCCTGCCGTCCCTCGGGGCCGCCTGCCCTTCGTGGGTTTGGGCTGCCACTGTGCCATGTCACCAGGCGGTGGGGGCACAGACGGGGAGGGTGTGCGCAGACACAGCAGCGAGGTGTGTGACTGGGTCTTCGGCAGGTGGGAGCGGTGGGGGCCGACAGAAGTGAGGTAGGTATAAGGTGGCTGCTCTCTGCCCTCCCTGCTCTGCCGTCCCCCGAAGCGCCGGGCCCAGGCCGCACACCCGGACTGGCCCCGGCTGGGCTGCCTGCTTCTCAGAGGTCGAGGAACAAGTTGGAACAACACGTGTTGGCCCTTCTGTGTCTCAGGCACCTCCGTGTTGGGGTTTCGTGCAGAGGCAGATTGGGGAAGTGCCCTTTGTTCCTAGCTCGTGGGCTGCAGTTTTGGAGAAGGCGTAGGGTCCTCGGGGGTCTCCACCGTCCGGGCGCCACACGTGCTGGTGTCTCCTGTCTGCGGCTTTTCGCGGAGCCCAGCGTCTTCCCCATTCTCTCCCGCAGAGGCTCTCGGTGCCTGCGACCCTTGGTCTCCCGAGCTTTCAGACTGTAAATTACAGCGTCGTCTTTCTGTTGTTGAACAAGGGTAACTGCACTTTTTCTTGCTGTTTTTAAGGCTAAGTGACACTTCCCGGGAACGGATCTCAGGAACACTTGGGGACAGATCATTTTTCCAGTCTTTGCTTACAGTAGCATTGACACGTGGCCGGGCCTGGGCAGGGAACGAAACTAACAAGACAGCTCGAGTTTGCCGACAAGAGCGCACTTCACTCTTACGCCTTCCTTTTGTCTGGAATCCTGGTCCTGTTGTTTCACATTTATGCTTAAGTGACGTGAGCAAATCCTGTCCGAGGCAGGACATGAAAACACGAGCCATTGTCCGCTCTACTCAGGGCTGGCTGTGGGTTGTAGGGCCCAGCAGCACATGCAGCTGTGGACATAGAGGCTTAAAATCTAGTAGGCACCTTTATGTTAAGTTTCTGAGACCAAAGGCAGGAAAAACTGGAAGACAAAACCCATAGGAGTTGAAGAAAGTGAGCTTCATCTAGAGCCAAGGTTGGCCCTCTCCTTTGTCTTGAGAGGTGTTGTCTTGTATCCTCCAGCGAGCACCTTCCCCTGGAGGAAGGCGCTGCTGGTGTCCGAGGCATGTCCCCCCGTTGGTGGAAGTGAGACCTGCCTCAAGAGGGGACCCCAACACTGGTGCTGATTCGGGGGGGGTCAAAAAAAGGTGGCCAAAAACCCAAACTAAAAAATGCGAGAAACACCACCACTTTATTTCCTTCATTCCCCCAGATGTTCGTCCGCGTCAAGCCTGTAACGTCTTGTATCTGCACTGGGCTTTCAGTAACGTCTTTTGGTTTTAAGTGGGGTGGCCATATAATGGATCGTCCAAACTGGGACTCTCTTGAAAGGGAAAGGGAGCACTTTTAGGACCAGGATGTGGGGCTGCCCTGTTGGTGTGGGCACCAAACACGGGTCCCGAGGGGCAGCTGCAGGCTGCGGGGACCCACCCGTGTTCTTCCTACTTTGCTGGGGAGTCTGGGTTGGCGCAAACGGCAAGGAGCCCGTTATCCTACAGTGTGTGTGGCGGGAACAGCCCGCGCAGTCGTTTCGACAAGACATGAGTGTATTGGCTGGTAAATGTGGTTGTGGACTTGTGGGGAGAGTGATTTTGGCAACGGGCGTCGAACTTCTGTGTCTCCCGGGAAGTTTTCTCCAGCGATGTCCTCTTCCTGTCAATTACTTAGGCTTGTCTATTGCATCCCTGCTCTGTGTCTTTCGGAATCCCATGTGCTAATGATTAGCAAGCTTAAAAGGGTGGATAATTTTTCATGTGCTTGAAATTATCCAAGCACTTGACAGGCACTGAGCAAATTTCAGAAAGCACAAGCAGCCCGTCGTCTTAAGTTTCCTTACGTTTCTGGTAAATGCAACAGATGCTCTGTGGGCACAGACGAGCTCACCTGCTGACCCCAGAGGGCAGTGTCCTTCCCAGGTCTTTCAGGGTGAGGTGTGAGTGCAGGTTTCCCAGCCCGGGAAGGGCGGCAAGAGCTGGGCATGGAGCGGCGACTTGTTCGCGCCCCCCCCCCCCACTCCCCCCCCCGGGCTCAGGCTCAGGAGCTCCAGTCACTCAACTTCTCTGCCTCCGGCTTTCACAGCTAGAGCGTGGAAGAAGCTGTCAGGGGAGAAAAGGGCTCTTGCGAGGTTGCTCTGGGAGTAAATAAAAAAGTGTCAACACTTTGTACCACGGGGGACAGCCCTGACACGCACGCCTGGGCTTCCTGATGTTCCCGTGGGGCCTGGTCTAGCTCCGCCTGCGCGCCCACCAGGAACACGCAGAGAGAAGCAGGTTAGCTGCCCTGGCCCCACAGGAGGACTGGCACCTGCTGGGGGAACCTGAGGCTCTGGGCCAGTAGGAAAGCCAGCCCGGCGGGCAGAAGCGTTCGCGCCTGCTGAG